CATCTTCTTTACAAAGGGATTCTTTTAGCTGCTGAATTTAAACAGAAAATATCAGATTTCATCATTTACACAGCTATAACTTGCCATGGCTTTCTGGTTTGTTTTGGACCACTTTACTGATACCAAATGAATATAACAGTTTGTTCTGAAACATTTATTTCTCTTTATTTTGCTATTTGCTGAGCTACTTCAATTATTTCCTTGACATGAAGTGACAGTGTCCTTTTATGTGTAAGCTACTTTTTGACTGTTTGCTGGGTTTCGTAGTTACTCACCTGAGAGAGAACTAGTATGTGATTGTTTCAGAACTGCCATAGGAATGACCTTGTTCTCTTAGTAGCAATGAGATCCTCGGCGTTGGGTCCACCCGACAGCCTAGCCATACTCCTTTCCAAAGTCCATTCCAATCATTAGAATCTATTCTAGTCAATGAATATTGTTAACTTTTACGATAAATGTTTCCTAGTGTTTACCCACTCCCATTCAATGTACCAGCACCTAAAGATGCTGTGCATAGAACACTGGGATCGATCAAAATGTCCATCTAGAGTCAACTGGTTAAATCAGTTACTCAGTCCTGAAAGAACTAAGCAGGTCTGAATGTGCTGATGTGGAAAGACAGCCATGAAATATGGATGTAGTCTTTATGTGAAAAATATTTACGCTTATGTATGGATAGGACACTTCTAGAACGCTATCCAAACTCCTGGAAGAGGGGCTGTGGAGTGAGGAAATGACTTTCTTATGTACACCTTCTCCTACTCTTTGAATTTTTTACTAGCACATAAATTTTATAATAATTTTTTAAATAAAATGGAAGAAAGCTCACACACTCACACACATACACACACAAAAAGCTCAGCTAGGAGAGCTGACACATTGACAAAGGCTGTCTTGGGACTGATGGAACTGTGTGAAACTCCTGGGTACTGCAGGAATTGGGGGCATCTGCACCTTTCTGTTGGTTCTCAACCTTGGGGGCTTCCCAGGTGAAATCTGAAAATGCTCCCCCTGTGACACAGAAGGCAAGGAGAGACCAAAGAAAGAGCCAAACCACCCCAGATTGGTAGGTGGCAGGTTTAATGCATAAGGGAAATTACTACGAGGCTTATCTTGAGTGACCACAAGATCAGTAGGTCCCTGCATCTGCTTGCCAGAGTCTAAAAGTTTATAAGAGGCTTTAATGGGATTCAGTCATGTGTTCAGTCCAGATGGTCTCAACAGCACCGTAGTTTCTCAAGAAGTCATCCTTGAAATGGCTCCCACTGTGGGAAGAGTGCACAGAACATATGTTCCAAGGACAGGGGAGGAGGTTTGGAGCCTCTGATTGCCCAGGGCCAGCTTGAGGGTCAAGTCCCTTTGATGATCTCCCAACATCTTTGCAGGCTCTTTCTCTATGAACCCCAATGAGCACTCACTGAATAGATTAAAAAGAACCGTGAGACATTGGAAGGAGGGGCAGTAGCCCTGCAGTGAGGGCAAGGCGCCACACCCAGAAGGATGAAAGTATTAATCTGGGGGTGGGGGCATAAAAGTGATGGCTTTAAGATAATGGTGAACATTCATTGCAGCTGGGGAAAGGGAACAGGAGCACGCAAAGTCCGTTCTTGCCACAAGGGGCAGGATTAAGTGCTGAATGCACAACTGCAGCCTGGGAAAGGGCCTGAGAACTGAGAAGGCTAATACCCGCGGGGGGATGCAGGCACACTTAAAGGGCTTATCAGAACAGAGACTGCACTTCCCTTCCTCTACCATGAAGCTAAGAAATTTCAAATGCCAAGTAACAGTAAACTACTGACAGATGAGGAATGGGAGAAGGCCAAGAATGTGCAAAAAGAACCTCTTTGAGGCATAGCTCAAGGGGAAGACCTAAGGAAGATCTAAAACTCAGAATCAAACAAGCATTGATCGAATACATATCCACTATCCAAAAAATGTGCTATAGGAAGTTGAAACCTGTGATGCTCTGGATATAATCATAGCAAAAACAGAATAGCAGCAAAAACTAGTCCAATTACTAATTGAATTAATGCAAAGTATTCCATTACAATTCTAGCAGAAGGGAAGGCATGCCCATATCCAGGTATAAAAACTATATATCGTAGTTTCCACTGGGTTACACAACAATATATTTGACCTTTAGCCAAAAGTTAGGAGTCACACAAAAAAGTAAGGGAAAACACACACACACACACTCCCAAGTGATGTGTAATCATCAGAAATAATTTTAAGATTTATCATAAAGTGACAGTAATTATGACAATGTGGTATAGGTAAAAGGATAAATTTATAAATAAATGGCATAGAATAAAGTCCTGAAATATACCCACATGAATATAATCAACTGATTTTTGACAAAGATTCAAAGACCATTAAATGGAGAAATCTTAGCCTTTTCAACAAATCATATTGGAACAACTGGATGATTTTATGTTAAAAAAAATCCAATACATATCTTACATCTTCCATAAAAATTAACTCAGTCATCAAGGTTAATATCAGCAGTAATTAGCTATGCTGATATCATTTGATCTATGATGTGAGGATCACCATATATGTAGGTATTCTTCCCCATAATATCAGTCTATTCATGAGAAACATCAGAAAAAATGATTGAAGCATGTTTTACAAAATAGTTCACTGCGGGTACTTTGTTCTATCTTTTCAATGATTCTGTGCATCTAAAATTATTTCAAAATAAGATGTTTAAAAAAAGAGAAGCTGACATGAATGTATGTATTCTATCTCCCTTGGAAGAGAGGCTGGAGGTAGACCTCACCCAAAGGAGCAGCCAGGAAAACCAAACAAATTAGCATTTGAATGATTTAGACTCGATATCGTGAACTTTCAAACTTTTCTTAAATTTAACGGATGCGAGTGGGCCACTTCAATATTCAGAACTAGAAATTTTGACGGAGAAACTGGAGCTTCTGAAGGGAAAGTGTAGACCATTATTTAACTCCTGCCCTCCCTCTTATAGCTGCAACATTTAATTTCCACATTTTTTTCCACTTCCAGTATTACAACGTTGGGGCTCTGACTCTCCAGGTTTGAGCCCCTTGACTTTCCCTCTGTTTTTCATTTCCCCGGATTTATGAGTTTGTGTAATATTTACCTGGATCTACCGTACCTGGTCTATTTCACAAGGTAGTGCTGATCTGTGTCAACATTATATTTTAAGTCATAGTGAAGTAAGAGAAAAGAACACAGACTGGGAGCAGCTGGGGTACAGTGAACCCTAGTCACAGTATCCACTTCTTGGGTGTTGCCACTGATAAAGGCAGGTCCTCACTGGCCAGGTCTTTATGCCAATGTGGGATAACCAGAATTTCTCTCCTGGGAATTTGAAATTTTGAACTGAAAGATACAGAAATGTAGGATTAGGAAAGCGTACAGGAACTTCTGCCCACAATGATGCCAGAGTGAAATTAATTCTGTCGTTTGCAAGGCTAGGATACGACCCATGTTAGTTTCCGGTGGCTGTTGCAGCAAATCACCTTAAACTTGGTGGTAGTTAACTCTCTCATAGTTCTGGAGGCCAGAAGTCCAAAATCAGCAAGACTGTGCTCCCCACCAAGGTTCCAGGGGAGGATCTTTCCCTTGCTTCCCCTAGCTTCCTTGGCTTATGGCTACACAATTCCCATCTCTGCCTCTGTCTTTACATCGTCTTCTCTTCTGTCCATCTTTTATAAAGACATTTGTCATTGGATTTAGGGCCTGCCTAAAATACAGGATAATTTCATCATCTCAAAATATATAATTTAATTGCATCTACAAAGACTCTTTTTCTAAATAAGGTAACATTTATGGTTCTGGGCATTATAAAGTGAATCGATTTGGGGAAGGGGCACCATTCAACCCAATACACCACGATTCCAATTACATTTTTCTTAAACTAGGTAGTACCAGTTTCTGTAACTTGCAACCAAAATACCTTACGTGTTGGGCCTCTCAGTGTTAATGTCAGCAGTTATTAATGGTTTGCACCATCTGTATGCTAAGCTTGACTTTAAAAGTTCTCCAGTTTTAATGTAATAAAAAGTGCTTTGGAGCTTGTTAAAAAAATAGGTTTCTGCCCTTCTCCTCAGAGTTTGTCAATAAATTGGCCCAGAAATACGCATTTTTAACAGTTCCCTGATGGCTCTGGTGACATAAGAATGGAGAAAAGTATAAAACACTCATACCCACCAATATTTCATTCAAATAAAAACAAGAGGAAAAGCAATGAAAAATAATTTGAAAACTTTAATGATGTTGTTTATATAGTAAAAACATAAAATCTTTTAAATAAGGTACATTCAATTTCTCAGCGCATCTAATATTCAGATAATTTATATTTCAAACACTTTCCAACATTAAACGATTGACTAAATAATGCATCTTCTATAAAGTGATATCATAGCTTATATAGGTTAAATTATATTACAAACACACTTCACACAGGAAGAATGGCAGTATCTATTAGGAAATGCTACAAACTTTCCATTAAAAAATATATTTTATCTCTCTCATTTGTCAATAATAAACAGAATATATAAATTTTTTCTTTCTAAAATTAAGTCTTACACAGTTTCCTTTTAGGATGATAATATGTACAAACCTTATATCTGACTGAATATAAATAGCAAATACTGTAATAGTGTTACAGATATATTAGTACTTTTACAGAAAAAAATGGCTTTCTAAAATCAAAGCCTCTAGACAGCTGAAATCTCAAAGCTATTTAAGTTAGACATTCTCATATTTAGTAAGGCACAATGGAATCTAGTTTTTTATTTCCAGTTGAATTACTGCAAGCAGTAATAAGGGAAAATATAGTCAGTAGATATTGGACCAGATCTGTCAGTTGGATAAACTATTTGGAGATTTTTTCTCGTACCATAGCTTGTTTTTATTTTATTTCATTTCATTTTATTTCATTTCATTTCATTTCATTTTAATTTAATTTAATTTAATTTTTTGGTGCCCTGGGGCCAAATCTAGTCCTTGGTATGAGAAAGAACCCATGGTGTCCCCTCAAGTGCCTGAGAAACAGTTTATTCATCCATCGGATCTGGTCCAAGGTGAGGAAACAGCCAGATGACCATTTCCGGTTATAAGCAGCTTATTTTTACTGATTGAACCTGGTTCCCTATCATTTCTAAAAATAGCTTCTGGTACAGTCTGTACATCGTGAAGCTGTGAAGGAACCTGACGGTCTTTTTCAGACTCTGAGTGACCGTTTTGGGAAAGTGGTACGTTTTCAGGTGCTTCAGTGCGTGCATTAGGCCCTTCAGAGTGTCCTGGTCGCCGTTCTTTATCCTCCACAGGCTGAGCAGCTTCAGGATCTGCTCGCTGGATTTGCACGCCTTCGTTGTTTTTTCAATGTCTTCTGCTGTGACTTTCTTCCCTGGCAGGCTTTCCATCAACCTGCGGAGCTGCTCGAAGGTGAGGTTTGCGTGGCCCATGTGCCGCTGCACGCTGTTTTCGCAGAAGTCAATGTCTGCACAGAGCAAAAGCACAGAGAGACATCCACGTCATGTCTATTCTTCTAATGCCACCCTGGGCACCCAAGGCAAAAGTTCTCCAAGTTTTATAACTTTGGGGATAACCTTTGCCTTCGTTTTTCTGGAGGGGGACTCGAGTGATGTTAGTTATTTCTGAGAACTAAGATATTGCTCGCTGTTATTGTAAGGTGATAAGCTATATATTCTAGGTATCCATCAAAGCTCAGTAAGCAGCCCTAATTGGGAAAATTACAGGCATACCATTCTCAGTTTTTCCAAAAAACATTTGAGAAATTAAAACCATAACATTTCAGAAAAAAAACCCAAAGTATTCACATTAGTTATTTTTTAATATAAACTTTCAGTAGTTGATATCTAACGTATGTGCTATTTTAAAGAGTTAGTTGCTTCAAATGGTCTTTAATAAAGAGTACAAGAGGATTACCACCACCAAGGAGAAAATTTGAAAATCCAGTAATATGAGGCTCAGGGACATAGATACATGCAGTCTAGAGAATATTCCATAATGAGCGAGGACATAAACATAAGAGGGAGTAACTAATGTTTCTATTAATGACATGAGTCATTTAGTATCTGAGCCCTAAGGCAAGTCAGTTCATCTTCCTGGGCTGAAATGTCCTCATTTATGAAATACGGATTTAGTTTCTTCCGATTCTAACAGTCTCTGATTCTCTCCTTTCTTTTCTTTTTGCTTCAGGGCTAATTATACTTTCAAAGAATATATTTTGTTTGCCAGAAACAGGAGAAAAGTTTATTCTTTGCACAAGTGAATGCCTTCAGCTGCCAGAGAAATGAAGTCTCCTAAAATCTGTTGCTCCAGTTTCAGATGTTTGAGGATTCTAAGGTAGTGTTAGGACTCATTTACCTCTAGCGGAGAGGAGAATGAATTTCTCATTGACATGGTCTGCCTTATGAAAAACCTCCCTCGTTTTTTTTTCCCCGGCATGTCCTCCCATTGTTAATTGAAATCAGAATTCTTTCTGCTGTATAACCTAAAGCTTCCAGTCCGCACTGCAGGAAATTTTCTTTTCCCTTTGCATTGTCTCATCAGCACCCTCCCCCCCCCCAACACACACTCACTCACTCACTCACTCACTCACTCACTTTCTAAAGGAGATTCTACAGAAAACTCTAAAACAGGAGAGTCCTTGGTTTTAACTAGCCCCTTTTGCCAAGAAACTCAAATACCTTGCAGACCTTATCTCATTAATCCTTACAACATATGCTATTAAAATGGTAATTTTGAAATAGGCTACCTTGTGAGGATTAATGAGAGGCTATCCGTGAGATACCCGGAGGCTCTCTAGAGAGAATTACTGAATAGATACGACAGAGCTTCTTGGTAGAAATGCAAGGTAAGATCCAAAGCGGTTAAAGAACTTCTGGGAAGGTCAGAGGGGATGCTAATAAAACTGCTAAGGTATTTAGAGTCAGATTTCCTGAGGTCTAACTCTGCCCTTGAAATGCATCGTGGCTTCTATATACACTCAAAAAAGAAAGTCGGGGGATGTGGATGAGGTGAAAATAAAACCCTGGGTGACTGTTCTAAGAACAGCGTCCACACCATCGCTTCATGAAAACTTATTCATTCCAGTACTAATTCCAAACAGGAAACATCTTTCATGCAACTAAATCCATGATTAAACGGTGTATTTGATTGCCGATCCACTTGTCTATTTCAGGTTACCATACCTTGGATGATCTTCTTGACCATATCCTGGTCTCTGTTTTGATGTTTCCATAACTTCAGCAGCTGGAAAGTCTGTTCTTGGGAGCTGTGTCGTCTTTTTATCCTCTCTACACTCTCTGCATTTACTTTCGTGCCAGGCAAATTGTCCACCAGGATGCTGAGCCAGTCAGGGGTAAACTTGGTAGGAACAGCAAACCTGAAGAAGGTCTCCTCACACAGGGTGACATCTAATGGAAGTTGGGAAAACCAAGATTGTCTCAACAATTGGACTCTTGGAAGTCTACTTGCCAAAATGCAAAATTTAAAGACCAACACAATTGCGTTGTCCAAGATAAAATATGCTAAACTGAAAAATTTGAATAAAACCAGCCTTCTCCTGGCTGGTCTTAGTGGGACAATTGTCAATCCAACTGGACTTCTTTCCTTTCTTATGTTCTTTTAGGGCATTTCAGGGGAGGAAGTTTAATAATATTGTTATAAATAAATAATAGAAAAATTCTGATTTGCTTGTAAATATTAACATTCTGTTAAAGCTGTACCTAGTGCCCACAAGAAAGTTCAAGTTCAGTGCCAAAACAAATATAATCATTGCTTTGAAAGGAGCTTGGAAGTAATCTGGAGTCACATATTATTTTCTGTACATAAAAAAACACATAGTTTACCTTTGGGAATAAGAGTAGATATAAATGTGTAAACACATATTAAATGAGAAAATAGTCACACACAGGAAACATGTCATTTAGAAAAGAGGTGCAATGGCCTGAATGTGTGGGTAAGGTCAACATATCCCAGGAAGGAAGAGTTTGACTTTGGATTCATCAGGCCTGGGTTTGATCCTGACTCTGCCATTCATGCCCTATATTGATCTTGAGGAGCCTTAATAGTGTTTTTGTAAAGCCCATATAGGAAAGTATCTGGCATATAGTAAGTGCTCAATGGATGATAAAAACAAAATTTTAAATGTATTAAAGAGAATGTTAAAGTTTAAGCCATACCTCTTACTACTCCTTCCCTTATTCCATTTTTTAGATAAGTAGAAAGGCTAACTTTTTTAGGATTTCAATTAAACAGTGAAAAAAACATTGGGACTGGGCTGGAACCTTGCATCTCCCAATTCACATTCTTACGCTTCATGCACTTCTGTGTAGTACAAACAGATGCTTGGGGAGAGTCAGGCTGGTTCATGATGCTGATTTGCTAAATGCTAAAAGACAGATTATCGTTGGTGTAATAAGTCCTTGCTAGAAGGTGTGAGATTAGTTTCACGGTAGGAGTGACAGGCTGAGGACACCAATTTGATTAGTGTCATCGCCAACATGGGATACATTTGGATAACTTGAGCTCTGAGCTAGTGACCCTTCCTGAATAAAGAGTTTCAGGCAAGAGGAAATTGGAACTTCTGTGTAATGGATACAGCAATACCATAGATGAAAAACTAGTTTTAATTTGTGATCAATTTATGTCAAAGTGCTTCTTAACCCAATTTATACTTGGGTTAATAATACAGGTATTCTTAAAAGTGATAAAAATGGCACTGGCTGGTGTGGCTCAGTGCATTGAGTGCCGGCCTATGAAGCAAAGGGTCGCCAGTTCGATTCCCAGTGAGAGCACATGCCTGGGTTGCTGGCCAGGTCCCCAGCATGGGGTGCATGAGAGGCAACCATACATTGATGTTTCTTTCCCTCTCTTTCTCCCTCCCTTCCCCTTTCTCTAGAAATAAGTAGAATCTTTTTAAAAAAGTGATAAAAATGCATAACAAAAAATTCTGCAATTTGGATTCTGCTAATTTGGCCTCAGATACAATGTTTACACCACCCTTTTCCCTATGGGTGAGATTTGATCCAAGTGGGAAAGGAAGAAAGTCAGGTTTAGAGCATGACCTATGAGAAAATGAAGACTTTTTGAAGGACTTCGAGTGTGGCTTTAGCAATTATGCACAGAGAATAGTGTTAGAATAGACCAGCTGGTTAAATTTCAAGACAGGGAAAACATGAGTTTGACTAAGAAGGTGGCCAGAGGTGGTACAATTATTTGATTGATAATTACCTATTCCACATCTGTGAGTCGATTCACTATTTCCAGAACATATATTGTCATGTGTTGCATTTCCTTTCTGAGTCAGGAGGAGGCCGAACGCACTGCAATTTGTGTGTTTTCTACAGGGTGCTTTTGAGGACGTCTCATTCGAGAAGAACCCATCTGGACATCTTCTGCAAACCGTATTCTGCTCTGGGGTCCCTACAGAAAATACCAAATAATTTAGCACCTTCTTCTCAAACACTTTCACAGTAGATACCCTCAACACAGTTTTAGGAAGACTTCTCACTTAGTTTTAACAGCTGTTTTGCTATGTTTTTACTATTTATGTTGTACCAAACTTCAGGCATTCTCATTTTTCACCTCATTAGACACACAGAGCAAAACTCTCCAGTAAGCCCCTTAGGCAGTCTCCCCTCCTAGCAGGACAAACACAGTTGGTCTTGCTGTTACCCACAAAACACTTCCGAAATGTGAGAGGGAAGGAAAGCAGGGAGGGTGTTCATTAGTCCTGTGTGTGCTACAATGTCAGTAGTGTTGCTATCATAGCCTTCACACAATTATCCTGGAAAAGCATCAAGATAGATGTTGTATAACTGCTACGCTATCATTCTCCGAAATCAGTACCCGCCGATGCTGCGTCGTTAAATTCCGACCCGTTCCTACCGAAGTTCTTTCTCTCCTGAATCCTAATTGTGAAGTAACTCATAAGCATGCTAACCTTGAGGAGTAAAAATTTACAGCAGTACAATAAACTTTTGAAGGTGGCAATAAAGTTGGCCGCTGACTCAAAAGCGTAAGCCTGCAGTTAAGCTACACAGTAAATGGAAGATGATATACCATTTGCTTAAACTGTTGAGTTTTAAGAGTCTAGTCATTAAAATTTCAAAGAAGGATGACTGCAAGGGCATTTTATTTCATAGTGGAAAGATACTTGAAAAATCTGGAGAAATCATTGGTAAACCAACTTGAACTAGTCAACAACTAAAGATGCCATTAAAAAAAAATAAATACCTGCAAACCCTTGACTCTATTATTCATGGATAAATTATACATTAGAGTGCATTTGCATATGAAAACACCTCCATCTAGTGTAAGCTAGTTGAACAGATTTAGATTTCAGTATTCAAAAGTAGCTTTTATAGCCCAATTCTGGCTTATGCAAGATAACAAATGCAAAAGGGACAAATGAAAGCTACAGAAAGTTCATAAACTTCAGTTATTAAAAATTTGAACCTCCCACCTCATTGAATCAAATCCAGGGAAAAAACAAAATGGTTTGGTTCTAGTTTCATCTCCCGCTTCTTCTAAAGGGATTAATGATGCATTGACCAGTAAAAATGAGGAAGGGCTGGCAGAAAAAAAAGGGGACGTGGGGAACCACAGCCAGGAAACTTTGACATGTTAAGTACCACCTCCAGTGCCGCAGTGACAACATCTTAGGAACCAACATACAGAGGGAAATATTAAAAAAAACAAAACAATAAAACTTTCTTACTGCATTCCTCTTTTTAAATGACATTCAACTCCACAACAAACTCTACAATATTCTAACTGAAGATACTTGGGCAGGGATTCCATGGTATTCTTTCATTGCTAATATTCTAGAAATAAGAGGACTTGAACACCTGGATCCAAGTCTCCCCTTGCCAGCAGCCACATGTTCTAGATAGTCAACTGCACAAAGAAGAACTTGTCATTCTTCAGAAACACATTGACAGATTGGTCCTTGCAAGCATCCCAATGAGAAAGTCATTGGTGTGAGATATGACATCCTTTTGGGTAGCTTAGCCTTTGAAATTCTTTAATAAAAGAAATCCAAGAATGACAGAAGTCAAGTTTCTTACTGTCTTTGGAGGCTTTATATAACGACCTTGCTGAATAGGATTTCTCTGTTTTATAATTGATAGAACTTTTCATAAAGAAAGATGCACCCATCTAAGGAAAAGATTTGGCCTGATTCATGTTAATCATAACAAACTTAAAATGTATCATCTGGCAGACCAAATGTCAAATATCATAATGATGAGGGGAGTTCTGTTCTACAGTGGAGAACTTCACCATGCTAGCCATAGGAATCACAGAAGGATCTTAAGACTAACAGATAGAGTGACTAAACATGGAGATGATCTGACTTCAAAAAAAAAAACAACAACAACAACAAAAAGGAATGGTTATTGAATACTTTTTAGAATAACATTGCATAGTCCTTTCTTCCCCTTGGGCTGGAAACCTCATACTGTCCATGAGGAACTGCCCTGCGGGTTTTCACAGAGTGAGAGGAAAGCAAAGCCCACTGTGGTGCCACAAGAGAAAATGTGCATCTTTATGCTGGTCCTCTGGCTGCCAGCTCACTTCATTCTACCAACAGGTTGCCACGCTTATGTGAGAAAAGCTTAGGTGAGAAAAATCCTTGCAATTTCCATTCTTTTTCAAAACTTACTCATTTCCAAGCTGCCTAGTCCCTTCATTAATTTTTCTACATATACAACTTACTAAACTGAATTAAATGAATTCATTTTTGCTGGATGGGCTTTCGCCCGCACCACTTGGTTTAGCTTTTGAGTCCCAAAATATCACCTAATAAAAACTAGGAAATGTCACCAATTTCTCCCCTCAAATACTCATACTCGAGGTATTTTAAGGAATTATCATGTAATTTACACCTACTGTGATTAATTTTACAAGATTCACAGCTTAGGAGGGAATAGATTTCAATTTTTGAATATATTTGCTTTGTATTTGTCATCCAATAATTTAGAACTCTGTACATCACAGCCCCTGCAATTTAAAATAAGTAGCATCTTCTAAACGGGTGGTTGTCAACCAGGTACAATTTTGCCATCAGGGAACAATTGGTAATGTCTGAGGACACTTTTGGTTGTCACCACTACAGGAGGACCATGCAGTGACGAGACCAGGGATGCTGCTAAATACTCTACAATGCACTGGACAGCTGCCCACAAAAAGAATTATCCAGCCCAAAATGTCAGTGGTGTAGAGGCTGAGAAATATTGCTTCAAACTGAGTAACCAGAATCTGTACTGATTACTACTTCTTCCAGAAAAGTAAGTGATTTACTCTTTAATTTTCCCAAGCTATGAGACTACAGGGAAACTTCGTGAAGGTGGTAGGAAAAAAAATGTGGTTGCAGCTTAAAAGATTCAATGCACACTGACCTTAAACTATGCTGTTCAAGATGCAAAAAGAGAAAGTACTTTGTAGACAAGTGCTTATTCTTGGCTTGACAATCTGTTTTGTCAAAGATAAAGAATAAGCTCATTGATGAGACACTGCTACAGCCTTTATCTTCCCAGAAACTCAACTCCCATGCTAAAGGAGGAACTAGCTTCATTTTTTAAATAATGAAATGCATTTCCCTTAGCCATTCTCATTTTTTGCATAATTAATTATAACTCTTCATTGTTAGCACTCCAGAGTCTCGTCAATATCAGCATAATTACTCTCTTGGTATCAATTAAGATTCCTAGTGTTTGTCAAAAAGCACTGCAGTTCGAAGCTATCCACGCTGAAATGAAACATAGAGGTACCTATCAGTTATAAACAGTACAACTCAGAGAGTGCCCCTATAAAAGAGCGATCCATCATGCATCTCATTAGAGAGCAATTTGCTGCATTTGAGATTTGTCACTAAATCACCCTATAGTGGCAGAATATTGCTCTGAGAAATGGCCATTCGGCAGCAATCCAGACACACAGCACATACCTAGCAGGTTCCATTACGTTTGCAGTTTGCTATTCTGTGATAGCATCAGACCAAGGTGTTCCCTTAACCCTTCCCTACTCCTTGACATTATAATGTTATACAATCCTAATTAACTTTGCGGCCTGTTGAAAGCTGACACATACCAGCGTGCAGCACTCCAAACCCCGGGGGACAGCTCCTGTGCTTCAAGCAGAACTCCAGCTCGAGGTAGCGCCCTTCTTCACACTCGCACACGCGGTTGTGGGTGCGATTGCACTCCTGCTTGACATACTGCAGCTCCTTGCACACTGGTGTACAGTACAGACACTCGTCACTGATGTGCCAGGTGTCTGTGTAGTAGTAGTCAGGACAAGGGGCACACACGGTCTTCCGCCTTGCTGTGCAGTGTTGCTTTAAGTAGGTACCAGGAGGACACTTGTCACACATCAGCTGGCGAGAAGTTTCTGGGTCATAATGCAGGTACTGTGGAGGAAATACTTCCTGGGTGGTCCATTTAAGGGAGATGTCCAGGAACTAGAAGAAGAAGGGAAATAGTCGCACGTCAACAGGGAAGGAGGGTGGCTCTTCTGTGCAAAGACATCCAAAGGTCCTTTACAAATTTCCTGCCTTCTGAGTGGCACCACAAAGTTCAGAGACTATAATTTTTGCCTCTATTAGCTTAATCTCAAAGACCAAGCTGGTGATGACAGCGCGCCTGTATTAGGTAAATCCAGCCCAGAGGTCACTGGAGTAGAAAGCTCATCAGAAAACAAATAACTACAGTTAGGTGTACCAGCAAAGGGCCCACAGGGCCTCAAGGACACTTTATCTCCTTGGACTTCAAGTTTGTTTCTAGATGACTGAGTTGGATGAACTAGTGGTTCTCTGAAGAGCCATACTACACTCTTTGATAAAAATGTAGATTCCTGGGATCCACATCTCTAAACATTCTGTTTCCACAGGTGTGGAGTTTGGCTGAGGATTTAACAAAAACTCTTGCAGTCCATACACAAAAATGATCTTATTGTTTATTCACTTGACAAATAGTTATTGAGCCCTTAATATGTGCCAGGCTCTGTTCTGGGCCATTAGGAATCAGCAGTGAATAAAACAGGCAAGAAACCCTGCACTTGCAGAGTTTACAACCCAACTGGAGCAGTAAGAAAATAAATAACAAACTACAGGTAAATTATATGTTTGAAGAAGAGTGTTGTAAGAAAAATGAGCAAGTGAAAGAGACTGAAAACATGGAAGTGAAGGGGAGTTTACAATATTTAACTGAGGAAGTCATAGTAGTCACAATTAGGGCTAGGTGATATCCACTTATAGTTTACCCGTTCTAAGACTTAATGATTCCAAAAGTGTAGTGAAGTCAAGAAGTGGAGATGTGTGAAGTATGATTACATCGACAGTAATCCTGATCATTCAAATATTCATTCATCCCACAGATATGCATCACATGTCTACCAGGAATGTACCAGGAATATGCTGGTGAGTAAGGCATGATCCCTGTCTCCATGGAGCTTGGAATCCACTGGAAAGAATCCTAGAACTTTAAGACTGATGTTTCCTCCAGAACATCACATGGCCCAGTCTTGGCTCTTATAGGTCAGTGATGTCTAGAAAATTAAATGAACACCTCTCCTCCGGTTAACTGGGAAAAACTTCAGGAGCAGGCAGTGTTTTATAAGTATCCATACATATGGCAGGAAGGAGTCTGTACAAGAAGACGAAGAAGGGGGAGAAGGAGAAGGAGATGGAGGAGGAGGAGGAAAGGGAAAGGGAAGGAGAAAGAGAAGAAGGAGGGGGATTTTGCAAGCAAGGGTGCTGCTTGGGAGGGCAGCTCTAGCTAGGTATTCCATCTTGTATTCTAAATCTCAAAGGGTCTTCTAGGGAGCATTGAAGTAGTTCTTCACACTAGTTACAGGAAACACATGCTCAGAAGAAATAGTGTTATTTGTGCGTAGGGGGTGGTTTGTTTGGTTTTTATTATTTGCTTTTGGGGAAAGGGACCAACAGTGACTATTTTCAGGCTTTGGGGAGGTGGCAGGCCAAACATAATAAATTTTTTCCAAACTCTTTTCTTTGTAGAACTCAGGACTTTTCACAGAAACCCCTTGACCTGGGAAAAGCGTGCCAAACTAGGAAAATGCACTACTTTTGGAATTAGGAGTGACAAAGGTAAAGACAGCCTTTTTAAAATAAGCTTTTGGGCACTTTAATCTGAGTGATTTAATTCATTTCTTATTGGAACACAACAAACATCAGGGCTGACCGGAGCTGATGTGAGCAGATAAACCGGAAGAAAAGAACAAAATAATCCCCTTAGGGCCATGGACCTTTTATCCAAGAGAAATATTTAAAATGCTATGATGTTAAGGCCTTGTAATCAACAAACATAGAATACAGTGCAAAAACATAGAATACAGAGCAAAAGCAAGGCTGTTTTGGTGGTCTTTTTCAAGACACCTTCATAACCTGAGTTATTCTGGGGAAAATGTTCTTAAATTTCCCTGTGGTTTCTTATTGGATCAGTGAGAGTGGGTGGGCATTAGAAGAAAGAAATGAACCAGAATTGGGTGAAAGTACCAGTTTGCTAAATATCTTACAGAAATAGATGGAATCTATTCATTCCACACACATTTATTGAGTACCCACTGCATACCAGGCACTGTAGAAGGCACTTAGCATACAGTGGCATACAAAACAAAAATGAGCCATGCCTTCAGGAGCTCAGTCTAGCGAGGAAGCAGACAGCAGAGAAGAAATAAATAATTACAAGTAAAGTCAGTATTTTAAAAGAAAGCTAGATGAAAGGACTTTGTTGCTTCCTGGTCATTTGAATGTATTATGCTATAGCTTTCAAGGCCCTTTGTGTGGATTTGGCTTAGATACTTCTAAAATCCTCAATGCTAGGAAATAAAATTTTTCCTGGTGCAATTTGCAAAGAAAATGAAAGAAATGAGAAATGCTTTTTTTTTTTTCTTCTCTTGCTGCTTATTTCTGAAGGCTTTGTTGCTTTGAAGATGCCTGTCTTGCATGCGACTGCGACTGAGCCCCACCATGGTAGGGCTAGCAGTCCTGAGACCTCCTCCAGCCCAACTCCCCATCATGCCCCTAGTGTTTGTCAAAAAGCACTGCAGTTCGAAGCTATCCACGCTGAAGTGAAACATAGAGGTACCTATCAGTTATAAACAGTACAACTCAGAGAGTGCCCCTATAAAAGAGCGATCCATCATGCATCTCATTAGAGAGCAATTTGCTGCATTTGAGATTTGTCACTAAATCACCCTATAGTGGCAGAATATTGCTCTGAGAAATGGCCATTCGGCCCCTTTCCCATTTTGATGTGGTTCTGCTGTGTCCACTTGTTTAGTGTTGACTCTAATCTCCCTTTGCAAGAAGTGATGTGGATGAGATGGGAAAACCCCACACGAATACAAGATCGGACCAGAATGCTGAATCGATTTGTATTTTTCTAGGCAATTGGACATGCCACTGTTGGTTTCCTGAGACCATGCTTTGGAAATTAGTTACCTTTTCTGCAAAATACAGGAAAGTCGAAGTGAAAGGAATCCACAGAGAAAAAAATAAATAAGGTTGACTTAAGGATTAGAGAGCAATTGTATTAGTGAAGGCGCTTTCTCCAAGGCCACTGCATGGAACTACCCTCTATATTTTGAAAAAATAGGGAAACCTTGAGGAACTGCAGACTTGCTTTCAGTAAGTTCCATTGGGCCTCTGTGTTTTATTTGAAAATTTTCCACTTTGGTAAAAAGAGAGAACTCTGGGGCCAAAGTTGGATGTTTAGGTTTCAATCTCTGGTTAGCCCCAATTCCCACATAAAATTTCTGGAACCAGTTACTGTACAGAGGATTAATAGAACTCTTCATCAGTCCTCTCCCTTACATTCTTTTGCATTTCCTGGAAATGCAATAAAAAAACTGTCATAGGAAAACAGATCATCTTAACATTGGCTTTATCTCCCTTGCTGGCTGATAATATTTAAAGTCTAGTAAGAGTTCAAAATATTTTTTTTTCCTGTGTGAATTGCATAACCACTGAGGAACATCTGCAAAAGCAGGACATGTGCATAGGTGTGTCTGTGGAAGCATTAAGTGCTTTTTGCAGAAGAGGGTCCTTGGTGTTTTATGCTTGATTATAGAAGAAAACATTAAATGGAATCTTCTCTCCAATTTTCCTCTCTTCCCCTTCCCATTCCCTATCTGTCCACCCTTTGGTGTGAACCCCTTGTCCCTGAACGGAGGGAGAGTCCTCCGAGCTGGTGCTTCCCCCCCAGTCCAGGAAGCCTTCCTGAATCCCCCACTCCTCTTTTCTTGAAAGGACAGTTCAGGCTCCATCGCTCATAGTTTTGTTCTTCTTCTCTCCTTCCATGTGTAATGTTGGACAGTGTTAAAGAATTATCTATCTCAAACCCAACATCTTTCCTCACCTACCCGATGTCAGCAGACGATGGCAGTGTGTGAAGGTGGTGGGTGGGCTGAATGCGTTGTTCTCTAAATCTCCCATTGTCATATTCTGCGGTTTGACGGGGCCTAATTAGCCAGTGAACTTGGAAACAAATGTCTTGCTCTAACCCCCTTCCTACCTCCTTTCTTCACTGCTTTATTTGTGAAACCCCTTGGACTGTGAAACTCTACCCATCTCCACTTTTCAGATTCAGCCATGCTTCCCATTTCCTCTCTAAATGCAACCAGTGCACCAGCAGCCTGAATTCTCAGCTCTGCCTTCTCCTCTAGCAAGCCACTCCCGCGTGCCTTTAGCAGTGGAGAGGCATGCTTAACAAGTCAGGTGTGTTTGATGCCAAATCTGCTTGTGCTCTGTGTGTGTGTGTGTGTGTGTGTGTGCGTGCGCGCGCGCACACACACACACACAAATATATATATATAAATGCTGTGGTGTATTATCATTAAGTAATTCCATTAACTGTTAGGTAAACCAACAAACATAGGTGGAAAAAATCATTATTTTTCTATATGAAAGAAATGGAATGCTCTGGGGATGACTTAATATAAGATGAGCTACAAAAATATTTAAAAAAAATTTTTTAAATCTACCATACATTTGAGGGGGCTGAGACAATTGTAAAAACAAAATGGTGAAAACATCAAGAAGAAATATATAATCAATTTATTTCATAAATATCTTTAAATTTCAAAGATGAAATGAAGGGGCTATGCATTATAGATAAAGATTTTGTAAGAAAGGTAGCATGGAGTCCCTTGTTAGCAAGCACGAATTCCAAGAAAGGCTTTGGCCAAATCTCAAAATATAGGCAAATAACTGTTTATTTAAATGTTTTATGTCAAAACAAAACATTTAAGATATATGTGTATAACTTTTATTATTGAAAGATGGAACTGATTTTTCATAATCACCTAGCTCTTAATCTCAAACATTCTGTGCCAAGCAGTGGACTAAAAATCAATGTCTATTTTGGTTTGTATCTACTTTAGGAGGTTTTACCATTATCATCGAGTCTCTGGCCAACTATAAAAATGAGTCTTAGAATG